AATTATTTGTTTTCGAAGCACTCTATTTGAAGAATAAATACACTAAAATATTAATTTAAAAAAAACAGTAATTTTTCATCAATTGTCAGATCAATTATTCACTATTAATTTTAATTAATTAACACCTATTAATTCCACTTTAGTATTTCTCTCAAGGCTGTGCATTCTCCACAGGCCTGTACAATCTCTATAGTGAGATCCTCGCGCGCGAGAAAGATAGAAGATCTACCTGGAATATCTATATATAAACAATGTAAGATATGCCGATGATACAGCTCTTATGGCAGACTCAATGGAAAAACTGCAAACAATTGTTACCAAATTGGTTTTTGAAAGTGAAACTAAAAGCCTGCAAATTAACATCAACAAAACAGAGTGCATGGTTATCAGTAAAAGCAAAATCGCCCCAACCTGCTCCATAATCATTAACGTTAAACAGGTAAAACAAGTTAACAGCTTCAATTATCTTGGAAGTCTGATTACCTCAGGTTGTAAATGGGATATGGATATCAAAAGAAGAATAGCTATGGCGAAAGATGCATATTCTAAAATGAAAAACATCCTCACCAACAGTAAAATTAGAATAGCAACAAAATTAAAACTGTTAGGATGTTACATTTTTCCTGTGCTAACTTACGGCTCTGAGTTCTGAACAATTTCTAAAGAAATTGGAAAAAAAATTAACGCTGCTGAGATGTGGTTTTTGAGAAGAATTATGAAAATTGTTTGGATCTCTCATACTTCGAATGACGATGTATTAAAACAGTCCGGTTATGAAGAGGGAAAATTACTACAGATAATCCGACGGGGGCAGTTAGTTTTATTGATTACATCATGCGGAAGGAAAGAATGGAAAATCTAACAACTACTGGAAAGATTGCGGGGAGAAGAGATCGCGGTCAACAACGAACAACATTCGTGAAGTCCTTGTGTCACTTGTTGAATATCACCACATTTCAACTCTTGCAAAGTGTTCAAGATCGGGTTTTGTGGAGGTCGATGGTCGCCAATGTCATGAAAGAACAAGGCATGAGAAAGAAAAAGTATTTCTCTCTATCCCGCTTACTATAATTATTATATAATTATACTATGTGGGGTAGTATTATATTAATTTACTAGTATATAATTATTATATAATATATATATTTAAGTATAATTAAATTATACTAGCCACTAGCCTAGCGTTTATCGAGATAAATTGCAAGACACTCTCAAATTCATGATTATTAATGTTAATAATGAACTTTATTAAAAGTGGGCATACGAACTTTTGATTTGTGCCCACTAAAATTATGTTAAGTTATGAGCTGAAACAAAAATAATTTAATGACAAAGAGAAAGAAATGAATTATGAGCAATAATCTTCCTTCAATGAGCATGAACACATGTTGAGACAATTAAACCATGGGCAGTCGTGGCCGAGTGGTTAAGGCGATAGACTTGAAATCTATTGGGCTCTGCCCGCACAGGTTCGAACCCTGTCGACTGCGATATCATTTTTTAATTTCTTAAAAATTTGTAGGATTTTATCTCTAGTTGATTGCTTATTTGTTTTATAACTAATGCTATACAAAAATAAAACTACCTTTAAATGTTTTGTTTGTGGAATCATGTTTATTCAAACATTATGTATGATTTTATCTTGTATGAGTTTAAATATCTCTAAGGCTGAACATGTTTTGAAAGTTATTTGTTCATAAAATTTTAACAGAAGCCGATGTGGTTGTTGTTGCAGTTGTTATTGTTGAAAATCACTCCAACGTTCAGCCAGTATGTCGTTGTTTATCCCTCAGCAATCAGACTGCCATTTAATTAACTGCTAATAAAATTGGTTTTAATTTTAGGAGCCTTTCTTTATTGCCCAGACATGCAGTGTAAAATGATACAAATCATCATCGCCAGATCATTATCATCATCATTACCAGATCATTATCATCATCATCACCAGATCATTATCATCATCATCACCAGATCATCATCATCATCATCATTACCAGATCATTATCATCATCATCACCATATCATTATCATCATCATCATCATCATCATCACCAGACCATCTTTTATTAAAACGTGTTAAAAGGTTTCATCTTAATCATTCTTTAAATACATCCTGCCAGCAAGTTTCGTTAAACTCGTTAACACGTGGTTATCGTCGTGCACCTATAAATAGACAGAAGCAAGAGGTCACTGTAAGGTCAAAGGTTAACGTTGTCATTTATATAGGTGCACTATAAATAGACAGAAGCAAGAGGTCACTGTAAGGTCAAAGGTTAACGTTATCATCTACGCTGATGATACGGTGAATGGCAATGTTTACACCGGTCTGTCTGTATGTTGCTTATGCTGATCATACACTCGTGTTGGGTAATAAATAGAAATAAAATTTGAATAATAATTCGAACTTATTAATGAATGTACAGTGATTATAATTGTCCTCTTAGCGATTGTGTTTAATTATGGCTGATCGTTAAACAATGCCTACGAGCGACATACGTTGAATTCTACAACTTAACTCTTCTCAAACAACATCTCCACCTGGCGATACGTTGTTCGAATGTTTGAGGAAAAAAATATTTCTCCATTCAGATGGAGTTCTAGAAAATATTCTTTTTTGGACTTTTTCTCATTCCTGCTCCAGTTTCAACACCATTGGCATCAGTATTGACGCGTGTGTCTATTTACATGTTATTTTTATTGACACTATCAAATTATATTTAACCGACATTTTGTGGATTTAGCAAGTGCAATCTAGTCAGCACATAATTTATAACCTTTAATAGTTTAAAATGGTTATTATTATCTGTTTTTGTTATAATAATAAAATATCATTTTTCCGTACAAGTTGATTCCACCCAACAACTACCCACTGATCACAATAAGCCACCAAGTCAACAATCCAACAATCGAGAACAACAAAACAGAAGGAGACAACATCCTACTCACCATGCCATACGCAAACAACGCGAACACTTTAGCGAAAGGTTTAAGCAAAATCATCAACGAAGACAGCAGTAACAACAACAACAATAACAACAATAATCACGGCTTCAGAACAAATTGTGTAAACACGCGCGAACCAACGCATCACTCTCTTTGCATGTAAAAGGCGGGGACTTATTTACATTGAAACCCACACACTGCATCAACAATTCTAGCTACCTTTCAACTGTTACTGATAGTTTTTTGATGTCAAAACGAATTTTATCACTAATGTCATTTTTAGCAATAGCAGGTTGGATGAGACAACAAAATCCATCCAACAGTTTAACACAGCCATCACAAACGAACTTCCGGTTTGTAAATTCATTAAAATTTGCGTGAAATATTCCGGTAAATTGGCATTATAATTATTCTTACATGGGCAACATTTAACACCAAAGAGAGCAGATTTTAAACCTATGCCTTTTGTTGTTTTAACATTGTCGTCAGCCTTGGTCTGCCAAAACGAGAATAAGGTTAAAAATGACCGAAACGAGGTATCTTCACTCAAAGTTTAAGCAAAGCCGTGTGAAACTTTCAACAAACCTCTAATGTTTTGAAGTTCTAGTCAGACTACAGAAACTGATGAATTAAAAGAAAACAAAATATTGAAAACAAAGCATTATTATTAATACGGAAAAATACGAAATACACGAGAGCCAAAAACAACGTGCCACGTCAACAACAACAACATAGATATCAACATGATGTAGATATTAATAGTAGTGTCGTAGTTTGAAATCTTTTGTGAGGTGCTATGATTTTTAAAAAGAAATTTATCAACCGTCTTTTGTTAATTTCAATTTTTGTTCATGATTGGTTTATCCAAGTTTGTATTCTTTGATCTAATTTTACAAAACATTGCAGTTTCGTGAAGGGTATGCACAAATTTTAAACCAAAATTTAATAGATGGTTGAGGAAATTTAATTTAAAAAAATAACAAATACGTCTACCGTGGGGGGTTTCAATCTCAAAGATGCTCACTCATTCTCTGCGCCCCTGATTAATAGTGGTATTTTTTTTTAAATAATAAGTTATCTTTGCTTCTTTTTTACCTCAAGGCCTCCAGCCAAAATTTCAAATTCAACCTCGTTAACATTATTAAATAATAAAAAAAAATTAATATACAATGATATTGGTATATTGTATTGTATTGTATTGTATTGTATTGTATTGTATTTTATTGTATTGTATTTTATTGTATTGTATTTTATTGTATTGTATCTGATGACTTGTATAGCGCCTCTCCAGAATAACATTCGAAGCATCGCTATGAATTGTTGAATAGATGATTTTTTAAACCTTTCTTGAACATCCGTCGATCCATGCTGCTGAATCTTTTCAGATCTCTCAAGTATTCATTCTTTTAGTATAGCAGTAATAGCCATTATAGTAACAGTCATCACTAACGTACATCTTTATTTTATTTTATTTAGAAGTATATAAGTGAGTGTGTGTATGTGTGTGTGTTTATTTCTGTTTTTGAAAAAGCATCATATATAATGATATTATAATAACATTTTATTTCATTTAGATATGGGCATATGTTTTTCACGCCCATCATTTCTTTATGTTTATGTTTTATAGAATTAATGCCGTTTATTTCCAACAGTGCTAAGACCACTGTTGGAAAAATTAGTAGTAGCTGTAGCAGTAGTAGTGGTAGTAGTAGTAGTAATAATAATAATAGTAGTGTAGTAGTAGTAGTAGTAGTAGTAGTAGTAGTTCTAGTAGTAGTAGTAGTTCTAGTAGTAGTGATGATGTTAGTTATTAAATCTGAGTTATATTATTATTATTATTATTAAAATAATTATCCTCGGAAAATAATAAAAAGAATAAAAGCAGATCTATAGTAACGCTGTACAAATATTGCGTGGTGTGTTGTGTGTTGTTTGCAGTGTGGCTCACTAGAAAAACTGATTTACCTCAACTAAAAAAATTGTTAGTTTGATGTTGACATGCTATATAACTGAACCAAATAAAATTGAAATTATTACATTTGCTGAAACAATAAATAAAATAAAATTTTCAATTAAACTCTTCAAATGTAATTTTGTAACAAAAATTAAACCGTCAAGCAGAGTTATAAAATTAAATTGAAATGAGCTTTTTTTCCAAATTATTAATCACATTATTAGAATGTTCAGTTTTGAGTATTCTTTCTTATGCTGCTGCTGAATCAGGTCGAAATGTGCTTGAGCCGATGTTCTCCAAAGTCGAGACTCCGTTGAAACGGTCCAACCAAGTCAAAGCCGTAATTGACTTCTTCGTGGTCACCGATCATACGATATACAGAAAGTGAGGTTTTTGAAGATTCAGTTTATGTAAATCATCTAAATGTCTGACCTAGTGTAAATTTAAAGGCATTGTTTTTCGTTTGAATTTATTAAAAATTATTCATGACCCTCTAACAAGCAGGCGACATGTAATTTTGTATTGCGCTGCAAAATTCGTTCTTGTATGTTTGTTAGATTTTGATTGTTATAAAAATATTGATATAAATATTAGATTTTTATTTAGAAAAATTTTACTAATCATGAAACAGATTAAAATAAGTAAATTTCTTTTCAATTATATTCAAAAACTTCAGCTGGATGAACTTTCATAGGAACGACGAGGCCAAAGCTATTGAAAGCATCAAGCACTTCTACGCACACGTAGTCAATGAAGTTCGTCAAGTTTTTTTTAAATAATTTCAACTGAAGACAAATTTTATAAGTTAAACTTACAAAAAATGTAGTGTATTTAAGATAGGACAGCCTCCAACTAATTAGAACAAGCTTATTTGAAGATTAAATCACAAAATAACCCTTATTGAACTTAATACAACGAATTTAAATGGGGGAATGTGAAAATTTAGCAAACTAATTAACTAATTAACTAATAATTAGTGAATAAATTAATTAGTCAATAACAAGTAAAAAATTTATTTATTTACAGATGAACAATCGCTACATGAAAGCTCATATTCCTGGATTTTCCGTTCGAGTTGTCTTAACTGGCATGTACATATCAAAGGTTGTTTTTTTTAATCTTTAAAAAAAAACTTGAATCTGTCAGACGTAGAATCCGCTAAACATGCAAGACAGTATTACAAAATGAATGCAATGTATACAGGACAAAAAAAATTTACGTAGAGGAAATTATATATTGATACTCGCTCTCACCTCATCACCGACCTAATCATCCTAATCAATTTCATGACCACCACCGTTATTTTTACAGTATTTTTTTTTTGGATTAAAATCTGATCTTTGCATCGTCATAACATCTCTAGGAGAAGAGCGATTTGGAGTTTATTGAATCTCCGAATTTCAAGATCAACCAAAACACTGTTGATGGCTACGCAGTTTACTATGATATGGTGAGGTGGTTCGACAACGACAACATGACTCGGGCCAGGAACTTTCCGAAGTTTGACGCCGCTGGTGTTTTTACTAGGTAAATATATTTTGTCGTTGTTGTCAATGATGAGGACGATAACGATGGTGGTGATGGTGACGATAACGTTATGATAATGATGATGTGAACGTAGTTTTGATAATCATGAAGACTGTGATGATGATGATAATGATGGTGATGATGATAGTAATGATGATGATGATTATGATGATATTACAATGATGATGATGATGATGATAATAATGATGATGATGATGATATTACGCTGATGATGATGATGGCAATTCTGATGGTTAAATTCAAGCTGGAAACCATAAAACCACCAGCCACGAGTTAATGAATAACAGCCTAGTCGTCAATTTATATTAGCGTACCGATTAGCAAACTTGGCTAAAGACCAAATAGCAAAAACCCGCAATTTTGGAAAAAAAATTTAAAACGAAAAACAAGCCATTGAAAAATAGCCAATTCCTGGCCATCTAATAATTTTTTTTCAAAATAACAGTGAATATCTTTTTAAAATTCAGATGTTTCTACAGATAGGCTGATCATAATAATTTCGCACCTTCACCAACATCATCATTGTCGTTAGGGCATCTACATCACATTACCTCCACCCTCAAATCATAAACTACTTTTCCCACCCCGTATTATTTTAGATACAGCCTCAACAATGGTGTACTCGGGTTGGCATTTATATCCTCCGTATGTAGGAAGAATGCAGCATTTATAGCTCAGGAACATGGCGCTTTCCGAACAGCCGATCTGGCTGCCCATGAATTAGGACACGTGTGAGGGGATGTTTGCATGTTGATGCTTGATCGCCATTGTCTGTACGTTTGTATGTGTGGCCGTATTTGTTTGTCGTAGAAGTTTGTTTAAGTTTGTCTTTTGCAAGAAAAACTTGAAATGTAACTTTTATTTAGTATATCAGCCGGTGGATGTGGCAAGTTAAGCGAATTAACTCGCGCTTAATTTGTAAACTTGGTTCTGATACATTTTTATTATTTTCTAATTGTTTTTGTTCATCTGATAAAAGTGAAAAAACTCTTGAATGATTTTTTTTTATGCAGGTTAGGTGCTGTGAACGATGGTGAAATAAATACATGTCCTAACAACGGGTTCATCATGGGCTCGTTGAGGAATATGATGGATGAGAAGGTTTTGGAATCGTATTCTTTTCTAATTTTCAATGCGATTCAGTATATTTCTTTATGAAATTATGATTTTCAAACATTTGTAATCTATGAAGTTGGGAATAGTATCTATTTAAAATAAAACTTACTGTTTCTAAATTTCAAAAATTGCAATTTTGAGTTTATTTGTAAAATGCCATTCATTTTATATAAAAAAACTGAAAAGCAAAAGATAAATTATAATCTAAATAATTTCCATTGCAACAAGCAGATAGCCGAAAGGTTTCGTTCATTTTCACCGTGCTCCCAGTCTGAAATTAGTTATCATCTCGGCATAGTGAACAGGTCTATTTATATTTTACTTAACATGTTCACACTTCATTCAGAGTGGATGTCAGTTCGGAGGTTTCAAACCATAAGAAATATTTAAATCGGAAAGATGATTTACGTTTGCTGAACATTGGATGTAAAAAAGAGTGAAATATTTGTTAATTAGCCAGGAGCGTGCGGTTTGCTAATTATTTGTAAACAATAAATTTTCAAAAACTGCTTTTCAACCTCATAGAACACCTTTTTTAGATTTTTTCAAGTAAAAACTTTGTTTGAACATGAGAAAATAAATGAAAAACGAAAATGTTCTCAGCACCATTTTTTAGCTGCGCTGTTGTACTAAGCATTCATACAAATAAAATCAACTAAATTATTTTGTCTATTTTTTACCTGTAAGTTATCCCAACAACTGCTTGCTGACAACTTACGACACCATCTGGCAGAAGGAGATGACGGAACGGCTGAAAGAACTCATAGGCTCGTTTCGTTAACAACATTTTAATTGTGATGGAAAAGTTTGGGCGCTTATAAAAGTTATAACATAAAAACTGCTCAAAAAATTTAAAACTTGGGGAAAATGAGCAAATAAAATAATGGCTTGGCACGAAATTTGTAAAAAAATAATTTACAATAATTTCAGGACAAAAACACAAGCCAGAGGAGCAATGCAAACATCTGTTCGGCGTTGATTCAACCATATGCGGGGTATTAATATATCGTACGATTCACTCTATCAACAAACTCATTACAAACCTTTTTCTTAAAATTTAATTTTTTCAATATTTATAAATAAACAAATAACTTATAAATTTAGGGTAGCGAAGAGAAACTTTGTGAAAGAATGCCCTGTTATCTTACCAAGTTGAAGGCATGTGTTTTCACAGATGTGCTGCAGAGAGCAGCTGATGGCACGCCATGTTCCAGCGGCAAGTCGTGTCGCGAGGGAAAGTGTGTCAGTGATTCTAAGGTGCCTAAAAGTCAAGGTTGGAAATACAATTTTTCGTTCGTTTGAGGTTTTTCAATGTATGGATGTATTCCTGTTTACTTTTTCCACTCTTGTCTTTTTCCATTTTGAAATTTTAATCGTTGACTTTTATTCTACTTTTATTTTTCTCAAGATGTTTTATAGAAAATTTTGTAATTTCCCTTTCATCACTTAATAACATTTATTTTAAATTATATACACGTATATATTACAAAATCCTTGGACCAATTTTTCAAAGGTACGTGCATGTACGGAGAGAGGAAAGGTGATTGGTTCAGTGAACTAGGAGACCCTGACGGTCCCAAATCTTGTCAAGATGTGATGGATCGCTTCCCGTGGAAATGTTATGAGGAACCTTACAAAAGCGACTGCTGCGAAACATGTCCGATGATCAAACAGAAAATCGGGACTGAAAGTTGGTTGTAATTGTAATTGAATAAAAATTTAAATTTTTTTTTATGAAGTTGTATTTTTAAACCGCTAATGCAAACTGATAGATAATATTTTAAAGAAGTTGACAACTTTCTTTGTCTCAACAAATATTTATTCAACTATTTCTCACGTGAAAGCAGCATTCTACGTTGACATTTTCATCTTTTGACTCGTTCCATCTTTTTGTTTCTAGATGGAAAGATGGGCCCCTTTAATTTTTTTTCTAAAATTTTCCATTCTGTTTTGATCTTTATAAATGCAACCCTCACGTATCATCTCAGCCAGCTGCTGTGGACCATTTGCAGTGACCCTGACAAATCATTCTCGTCATCAAAATTCGCCTCTTTGAATCCCAACCTGGTCATTACAATAGCAGTGCCAGACAACAAAACTCTTACACCAACGTGTCCCCAGATCCTTTAAATCTTAAAGTTTAAATTTTAAAAAATAATTGATCAAACTATCTATTTTCTCAGCTAACATTTTGTTCATAATATCATAAAATGTTGATTAATTACATTTACAAATAATTATTCAACAACAACAATAATAACAACAACAACAATCATAATAATAATTATTATTATTACAGTTATAATTATTGTAAATATTATTATTATTTATAATCTCATACAGAATGCCCGTACGGCGATAAGTTCTCGAAGGAAAGCTGCCCCAGGTACACTTGTAGCGATCCTAAGTGGCGGGATAACTGCTGTCAAACTTGCTCAAACTTTGGTTATTTCAAAATCTGCTCAAACTGGTTATTTCAAAATCTGTGACTACTTCTGTTACTGCTACTTCTACTTCCATTATTAATACTACTACTGCTACTAATAATACTACGACATTCCTTACTATTACTACTGCTACTACTACTACTACTGCTACTACTACTTCTACTACTACAAGCTACTATTGCTGCTACTGCCAAAACTACTAGCTACTACTTGTGCTTTTACAACCACTATTACTGCTTCTGCTACTTTTACTACTACTAATACTACTACTAAAAATAATAATAATAATAATTCTACTACTAATTCTACTACTATTACTACTACTACTAATACATTATATATGTATAATGTATTTTTTTCAAATACAATAAAAGTATTTTTTTCAAACACAATGCAAATTTTGTTATAAATGTGGAAGAAGGGGAAAGAAAATGTCGTAAATAATTTTCAAAACCTGCATCACTCCAAAAATTTTATAACTACACCATCTGAAATATCCATTCCTTATATTACTTACTCGTCAGCTCTTAAAATTCATTAACTTTGTATAGAATTGAAACGTTTAATTTTGCATGGAATTTTAATTATTCTCTAACTCCAGTCACCTCCAAGGACTGTCCCAGCGGTGATCAGCCGGCATGTGCGAGTCTGAAGAAGTACCAATGCTATGACGAGGAGCAACGCTGTTGTATAACTTGCCCGAAATTAAAAAATTCATCAAAAGTCGGTCAGTAATTAAGTAGTAAATTTGAATAAAGAAAAAAATTTTGATCTTCCAGATAAATACAAAATTCAATTGCGAATTTTTTCACTATTTTAAAATTAAATTTGTTTTATTTCTAAGGTTGCGAATATGGCGATAAAGCTAGATGGTGTGCGGATCGCGTTGGTGCCAAGTTAGAACACTGTCCACACTTTTACCAGAAATGCTGTGAAAGTTGTCAGGATTACATCAGGAAAAATAAACTTAAAATCTAATTTAAGTATTAAAAAAATTAA